CGGGGGGGCGGAGCCGGGGTGGGGAGCCCGTGCCCCTGAGCTGCTGCAACGGCCAAGCTCCTCAGGCAGGGCTCTCCTGGCGCAGGGCCGGCCAGAGCCTGCCACAGAGCAGGGCTGAGAAGCCACACGGTCGCTGGTGCCCAGGTCCTCTGTACCTTGCAAAGCCCGGAGCAGCGCACAGCAGGGACGCTCACCATCCTGCTCTGCCCCAGAAGAGCCCTGATGTCCCAGCACCCCCACGCACCCATGAGCCACCACCTTCCCTCCGGGGCAAAGGGCTTCCCCAGGGCTTTACCTTGGCAAGTCCACGCCCAGGAACACCTTCCAGTTATCCCAGCTAACTGTAGGGGTTCATGAAGACCTGGAGGCCAGGCAGACACGTCATGCCCGGCTCTGCCCCGGCCAGCCCTCCCGCTCCCCGGGCCGTGCTCACCTTGCCCTTCTTCTGCAGCCGCTGCCTCTCCTTCCTGTTGATGTGCCGCTCGATGCTGGTTTCCCCGCGGGTGATGAGGGCAGCGTGCCACAGCGTGAGGGCACCCAGGGCCAGCGCGACTGAGCTGGGGATGGCGAAGGACAGCAGCTGCACACAGGCCTTCCGTCCCTGGTGCCACAGCTGCCTCCCCGCACCCCCAGCCGCGTGGGTGGGTGGGCTGCTCTAGTCCCCTGTGGCAGAGAGCCGAAATCCCTCCTCTGTGGCCCAAGAGCTGGCAGGGCAGGGATGTCTGGGCTAGAGCAAGCCAGCTGCTCTCTGGGGAGGTGGAGGGCGAGCAATGTCCCAGGGCAGAGGGCTGCACGCTGCTCCCCCCAGCCCCTGTGTTACCTGCACAGCACCCAGAGGTAGACCACGCTCTTGTGGAAAGCTCGCTGGCGGAAGGAGAAGATGGGCGGTGGGGTCTGGTAGTATGTCTGGAAAGGGACCAGAGAGGGGGGCATTACCCAAACTGCTTTACAGCCTGAAGCCATCCAGGGGACTGCTGTAACCCTCACCGATGCAGGGCTTGCACAGGTAGCAAGGACTGCGGCTGGAACCAACACAACAGCCGGGCGAGGGGGAGGCAGCCCGAGACAGCCACGAGACAGACAGCTGAGAGCCAGCACATGGGTGAGAAGCGGTGGGCTGGAGGTAAAGGGGCAGGGAGCAGCCGTGGGACCGGTCAGGACACCGTGGCTGGCGCTCGGGGTGAGATGGGACCGCATAGCTGCAGCTTGCCCAGGAGAGCGGGGCCTGAGCAGCACATGCCAAGCAGCTGCCACCAGCCAAAGCCCCTGGAAGGCGGGTGCACAGGGAAGCAGACCCCAAGGGGTGTGGCCCTGCGCCATCCCTGCCCGCCCGGCCCCAGCTCTGACACAAGATGTGCACAGGGGCTGGTTCTGGCTGCCGGGCGCTCCTCGAGAGCAGGGCCCCAGGCAGGACGCAGCCTGCAGGGCAGCTCTGCTCTGCACTGTCTGAGCAGCTGGGGGGCCGCGATGTCCCACCTGGTTGGCAGCCACCTGCAGTCTCTCCTTCTCAAGCAGTTTCATTCTCTAGGGGGATGGAAAACAGGGCACCAGTTACAGGTCTCAGAGGAGGGGGCCCTTCCCCCTCACCCCCCACGGGACTGGGGCAGCTGGGGGCCTCGCAGGAGGAGGGAGAGGAGGAAGCAAAGTCACTACAAGGCCAGGCCTGGCTCAGCTGTGTTCTGCACGCTCAGCCCGGGGAGCCCAGGCAGCCTCAGTGCGCGGCAGGACGAGGGGCAGGGCCTGCCTGCTCACCTCGATGGCTGCGTAGGCGTCCCGAAACATCTCCCAGCCGCTGATGCTGCAGTAGATGCAGCCCATGGTCATGAACAGGCAGAAGGAGAAGAAGTAGCGGTGGTTGTAGTGTCCCACGCAGTTGTTTAGCCAGGCTGCCTCTGGGGTTAAAGGCATGTAACCGTGACAGACCACGGGCCCAAACCCACCCCAGGGACTGGGACGGTTCTTCTGGGCCCAGCATCCAGCACCCCTCCCCGTGCTGGCTGACTCGGGAGAGGAGCAGGGCAGGGAGAGAAGAGGGCAGCAGGGCCGGCTGCCCCCAGCACAGTGCTGCGGGTTAGTGCTGCAGAAGGATACGGCAGTGGTGGTCCATCTTCAGCACACACCTGGGAGGACGGAGAGCAGTGCCAGCGTCAGCGCAAGCACCGCGTTTGGGAGGGGGGAGGCAGCCCCCCCCCCCCCCCTTTTTTTTAGGGACGGGGCAAGAAGCCAGCAAAGCAGAGGGGAAGGGGCTCCGGCCTCGCAGTGCAGCGGGGCGCGAGGAGAGGGGTCCCGGAGGCTGCCCCGAGTGCTGCGGTGGGTGGAGGGAGGGAGCCCTACCTGTTGCAGATGCTGCAGTGGTGGGTGCGAGCTGGCTTGGGGGCAATGCATTTCCTGCAGACGGAGACGCCGGTGAGGCCGTCCTTGGCCTGCGCATAGGGCAGAAGAGACTTGTGCACCCAAGCCCTGCTCCCCGCACTCCTCGCCCTCCCTCCCCGCAGTGCCCAGCCCCGCTCCCCCGATCTGGAGGAGGCCTCCTGCAACGACGCCACCAGGACGGTTTAGCTGTTCCCGGTGACTGTATCGTAGCTGCTCCCCAGCGCCCAGCTGGGAGAGGCTGCACTGCCAGTCGGTGCCTCACCTGCGGTGGATGCCCGGGTGAGGTGGTGATGGCCATGTAGTAGTGGAAGACGATCATTATGAGGTTCCAGTGTCCGTAGGCGAGGTGCCAGCAGATCCAGGCAGGAGTGTAGGTCTGCAGGATGAGGGGCAGCAGGCAGATGTACACAATGGCCACGATGGAGCTTGTCAGCCCGATCACCAGTGCCACAAACACCTACGGGAAAGGGGCCTGGGTCACTGGCGCAGGCAGCACCTGCCCCATGCTGCCTAGGGAGAGGCACAGGCGGGATACGGCTGCAGAAAAACCGAGCCACACACTGAGGGCCCCACTCCCCCCCCCCCTAGAGCACAGGCACGCCCCAGACCCCCCC